ATCTTTTTTTTAAGACTTTTTTAAGAGCAGTTTTAGGTTCATAGCAAATGTAAGAGGAAGGTGCAGAGGTTGCTTGTATCTTCTTTATCCCATGTGAGAGTAAAGTAGAAGAGTGGCCACTAGTATGACCAGTCTCTAGAATGGTCAGAGTATTTGGAGATATTTACCCTTTTTATTATAATATAACCGCTAGTAATATTTTGGGAGCCAGATTTAGATATGAGGATTCTGAAGGCAGGTGATGGGAACCACTGAGGGTTTGAGCAGAGGAATGGCCCATGTGAGCTGAGCAAGTGTCCACGGCTGAGCAGGCAGCTGGCATGGGAGGGGTTTTTGGGAAAATTTCCCAAAGTGTACTGGAACTGACCTCCAAAGGGCAGAGAGACCAAAGAAAGAGGCTGCCAATTCCAGAATTAGACAAAGATTTTATTAAGGAAGTTTATAGATGGAAGCACAGTCTTGACAGAAGCAAGACTGAATCTCCATACCAGAAAGGGGATGAGGCTTGTTATATGCAGCCTGCAGCAACATGGGCAGCTTGTGGCCATGTGGCATGTGCTTGCTAAGAACAGTGTATTCCAAAGCAGTAAGCCACTTAAAGGGCCTACTTCTATATGTAAGTGCACTCCTTTCAGGTGGTAATGGCCCACCCCTCCCAGGGTGGACCTGCGGTTGCTGAGAGCAACTTGCTTCTTAAGATGGTGTTGGTCATGTCAAGCACCAGAAACCATTTTGCCTAACAAGGGTCTGGAATTCTGGATGGGCAAAGGAAGCAGGAACACTGGGCCAGGTGTGCACCGATGTGAGGGGAGTAGAGTTTGGTGGGGGACAGGAATGCTGTCAGCAAACTCTTTACGGGCCATCAAATGAACAAAAGGAGCGGTTGTTCTGGATGGTTCCAGAAGGCAGAACCAGGGGTGATGAGTAGGAGGGACAGGGAGACAGAATTGGACTCGATTCCCAAGAGCTTTGATCACCAGGGCAGCCCTCGCAGTGGATGAGACCCCTCGTGAGGCGGAGGTGGGCTGGTTGGACATGTGCTGGGTTATGTCTACTCAGCTTCCTTCTCTCCTTTTGGTAGACTCCTGATTTCCCCATGGGCACCTCTCCTCCGTTCACAGCCTTGCCCTTCTACTGTTGCTGACCCCACCCTCTGCTGGCAGGTATGGCATGAACTCTGAGGTCTGACCCAAGAAAGCCTTCTCCTGCTCAGGCCTCAGCGATTGGCCCACTGTCAGGAACATGACCCCTTCAGGCCAGTGAAAAGTCACCCTGGGACTTTGATTGGGTTGTTGGTTTGGGGACACGCTCCAGGTCTGTTGGAGCTGCCAGGTAGGAGTGGAGTAAATGTGGTGCTGCAGAGAGATCCCTGATGGTGTCACTCCAGCACCTGTGTCTGTACCAGTCAGCATGCTGCTGTAGGGCACACAAGATTGGTTATTAGTCACACTCCAATGTGGCTTGTGAGGGGAGAGAGGGAGACCCAGAGTCTGGACTGGAGGTTGGGGTCAGGGAAGCCATCCTGTAGGAAGGGATTGAGACCTCATGGCACAGAGGGGTTATTTGGACAATTTGGGTGGGAAGGAGGGATGAGTGTTCCCAGCCAAAGCAACAGAAGCAGGCTGACTGTTCCACTCTGCAAGGCTGTGGAGAGGTATAGTAGAAACCAGGACACCAGCACTGTCCTCACTCCCTATGTAGCCAAGGAAAGTTGTACCCCATCTCTGGGCCTCAGCTTACTCTTCTGTTAAATGGGTTGAATGGGCCTCACGCCTGAATAGATATCAGAATCACCAGGGAAGGTGCTAAAAATGCATACTTCTGGGTTTCGTTCCTGAGTGTCTCTAGTGGGATGTGGGGTGGGTGGGACTCAGGAATGTGCACATTTACCCAGCACTCTAGGGACCTCTGATGAGAGCTCTGTGTCCACACTTTGAGAAGCTCTCCCTGAGATTGCCAGCAGGCCCTTTGCACCAGGGGACCCAAATATCTGTTGAAGCAGTTTACCCAGGACTTACCAACCTGGCACTGGTCATTAGATTACAGGTAGCCCCTCTGGGCCACACGTTTGGAACATGGGCCACTGAGCCACTGATGCGGCTCACTATCCTGGTGGCTTGACTCAAAGTCCTCCAGGGTTCTGGGACATTGAGGACGTCTGTAAGAGAGGCCTCTCTAAGGCCCCTGGGAAAGGGATCAGTGGCCTGGGGATTCCTCGGTACCCTTTCTAGTCCATGCTCCCTCTGAGGCCTCTGCCATCTGGCCTTGTGCTATTCCTCACCTCTGTCAATATTTATTTCTTCCCTGGCCTCAAACAGCCTGGAATTTGCTTAAAGGGCAGGAACAGATGTGGCAGACCTTGCCTCCCTGCCTTGCTCTCTGCTTCCTGGCATGTCTGTGTGCAGGCTGCCTTGTTCTCTGCAAGTGGGCTCACCAGGCAGCCCTGCCTGTGTGCCTGGCTCCAGCACAGAGCCCAAGGCCTGATGAGAGCTTTCTCATGTTGCTTTTGACTCCACTACCCCTCGGAGACACCTTAAACCTATCCTCTGTCTCCACATGCCTCATATCTGGCCTAGAGGGCTAGAACTAAGGTACTTAGAACATTCTAGATGTCCCAGAAACACTCCTGGCTGCAGAACCGGCTCCTGTTCCAAATTTGAATAAGCCACAAAGAAGTTGTGATAAAAGGTCATGTAGTTTGAAACAGACGTGTACATCACTTTCTATGAAATCAGATCCTGGCGTTGGCTGATGCCACAGCATGAGCCTAGGAGACCCGAACCGGGAACACGGAACTGTTAATGCTATTGATAAATGTGTGGCCAGCTTCAGACAGGTCACTGAACAGCTTTTCTGCCTAATCTGTTCATGGGATCTTGTAATTTTTGCCTCCTTCAAACCTCAGGGTCTTGTTTCAGAGAAAGAATGCTTCCCCACTCCCACATTTCAAAATATTTTGAGATCTATTGCCTCAGTTTTGAGCATTGCACAAATCAACACAAGTGTGGCGATTGCTCCCTTTTTAATAAAAACACTGCTAATAAAATGGATATTTGCTGCTGTTTCTTTAACTTTTTATTTTGAACTACATTTAGAAAAGTAGTAAAAAGAAGTACTAAACATAGAAGGAAAGTTGCAAAAACAGTAGATTTTCCCTATATCCCTCCCTTGACCTCCCCAGCATTACAAAACCATTGCGCAGTGATCAGAAATGGGCCATTAACCTTGAGACAACACCATTAACCCAACTAAAGACTCTGGGAGAACCTCACCTGCTTTTTCACCAACATCCTTCTTTTTACTCAAGGAACACACTCAGGATCTCACATTTGCATTTAGTTGGTTTATTCTGTCTGGTGTCCTGCTGTCTGCAACAGTTCCTGGGTCATTCCTTGCCCTTCAGAACCTGGATACCCAGAGGAGTGTTGATCAATTACTTTGCTGAACATCCCTCAGTTCAGGCCTGTCTGGGTCTCCTCGGGATTGGGTGGAAGTTGTGTATCCCTGACAAGGACACTACAGATGTGGAGCTCAGTGCATCATGCCACAGGGTCATGGTGTTGATGTGTCTTATTTTGCAATGATGGCCTATATTTCTGGTCAAGTGATCTCTGAGGGGCATTTCTTCTGAAGGTTATATCCACCTTCCACACCCCCTGCCTAGTCAATAAACACCTTAGGAGAGATACCTTGAGGTTATGCAAATCCCTTTTCTCTTCATACCTTCCATGGAATCTAGTCTCCCTCAGCAGATCTTGTCTGCAGCAGTCACCTCTGTGCTATTTGCCGAATGCTATTTTCCCTTCCTTCCTCCTTCCACATTTATTGATTGGATTTCCACTGCAAGAAAAAGCTGTCACTTCTGCTCCATTGATTTACTTAATCAGTTATTATTTATATCAATATTGTTCAAATTATTTCAACCCTGGCCATTGGGAACTCCTTCAGGGCTCCTGTGTTCTTTCAACAACCCCCCTGTATTTTTCTGGTTTCACACAAAGTGCCAGGATTTGCTGCTGGTCTTGCTCAGCTAATTGTTAGATATTCCTCTGAGTTCTGTATAGATTGCGAGCTACTGAGGCCACCAATCACATCTTCTGTTTGATATCAATTGTGGGCCAGATTATGCTCAAAACATATTCCTTAGTTGATTGATGTGTTGGCAGAACTGGTTCTTTGGAAGAAATTGCCACTCTTTGGAGGTTGGAAGTTGTGATTTTTGTGCTGGGAGCTGGTGAAACTAGGCAGGACCCAAGGAGGCTCCAATTCTACTGTCTTTTACAGTTTATATTCCTTCTATCTGAAAGTCTCCACAGTGAATACTTAAGAGTTCAAAAGGCCCAGCTCACAAAGACCTGTAGCTCCCTTTGCCTGGCATACAGAAAGGTGCTGAGATTTCATGCTGAAACTTGACCTTTGTCTGAACTTCCTCGATCTTACCAACAACTGAGACAGTTGGGAAGTTTCTTAGTTTGGGTCCCCCCAGAAGCTGACCTTGTTATAAGGATTCAAGTGCAAGTACTTTCTATAGGAGGTGATCTCAGTGGGGAGTGGAGAAGTGAGACAGGGAACGGAGGACAGCCCTTATTATATTATTGAATTATCAAGCACATCCTCACTATGTACAGTTGGAACTCGGTCCTGCTGTAGAATCCTGGGAAACAGTCTAGAATGCATACTTAAGAGTACTCCTGTCCTTCAGGAGCTGGGTTATTTATATATCAACTCCTGTTAGTTTTTGTCTGACGGTTGCTTCTGAGCCTGTTAATTCTCTGGGACTTCTAAGCACAGAGTGGGCTCTTGCCGCTAGAGAAAGTTTTCAGGCAAAGTTGTGCTCAGAAGTGGTGAAAGTCTAGCAACCCAACCTTTTTGGCACCAGACACCGGTGCTCCTATGAGGATCTAATGCCTGATGATCTGAGGTGGAGCTGAGGTGGAGATGCTGGTGCTGGGGAGCGCTGGGGAAAGGCTGCCAATACAGATGAAGCTTTGCTTGCTCCCCTACTGTTCACCTCCTGCTGTACAGCCCAGTTCCTAACAGGGCACGGACTGGTCCTGGTCCACAGCCTGGGGGTTGGGGACCTCTGGACAGGATATAGATGGAGCACCAACAGCACCCATTACAGGTATATCCCCATTTTACAGATGAAGAAACTGAGGTGCAGAGAAGCGAAGTGACTCACCCGGGGTCTGGACATGTTACTGAGAGCTGGTACATGAAGCTAGGAATTTGGGTAAGGATTGTGTTAGATGATTTTAAGTCTTCACCCAACTCTGTAATCTCCCTTTGCCTCTGCATCTTATGGCAGATTCTCCCTCTGCTGCCTTCTCGCTGGCCTGGAAATGGCCTCCTCCGCTTGGCAGGGTACATATTTGCAAAAGGGCACACCCCTGCAAAATGAGTGATGACATGGCCTAATGTATTGGTAGCTGCAAGTTCATTGTTTGAGTTGGATGGGGACAAGCCCCTGTATTATTTCAGGAGGCTTGAGTTATGTCAACCCCACCAATAAGTAGTGTTAAAAGATTAGGCAAATAGGTGGAAGAAACTCCTGGCTTCTTGTTTGCTTAGACTGTCATGCTGATAGACTGTTTATCTCTCTGGTCCCAGGTCCCTCTGACACCTTTGGAAGATAGAACTTCCCCACACTGAGCTGCATTGTGGTGTCTTCCAGTTTCTCACTCTTCCCCTGTCCCCTCCTGAATTCCCAGGTCTAGTTCTTGGTTCTTTTACTGACTACCCCTTCCCCGCTGCCCCTCATATATTTCGAGCCTGTTTTCCTAGTGAACTTTTGGACCTGGGCTAGCCTTAGGAATCTGGAGAGAGAATTCTGAGCCAAGAGATCTGGGCTCTACCAACAAATAAATGAGTGTGTGAGATGCAGCCCCTGCCTCAATTTCCCACAGGAAGAATGGAATGTTTAAAGAGGAAATTACCCTTGCCTAGTCCACTTCCTAGAATGCCCCAGTACTTCAAAGCAGATCAAGTTACCAAAGGATTATCACATCCCAGGGCCTGGCTGACTTCTTAGGCTTTGAGAAACATCAAAATGAACCGTAAGCATATGAAAAGAAGCTCCACCTCACTGGTATTCAGGAACATGTAAATTAAAACAAGACACTAGTGATGTGAGGGTAGTGCAAATTGACCCTGTATCATAATAAAAAAGTCCATATCCTATAACCCAGAGAATCCCTTCTTTCAATCTGCAGCAGAAAGTCCCTTGCACAGATGCATAAGGACTCAGGTATGCATCAAGTCATTCATAAAAGCAGTACTTCTCAACACTTCATGAGCAAGCTCCAGTCTTTATTTCCAATCTGTTGCAAACTTGTCTATTTTTACTTTTACAGTAAAAATGAATTACTAGAGAAATAAAAATTTAAAAACCGAAGACTCGTGAAATACAGCCCCCTGATTTTTTTTTTTAGCCTTCTGATTATTATTGTGAGATTTGACATAACATTACTCTGCCAAATTGCTATAAAGTTACCTCAGTGCTTAGCCCCAGTCAATTCTTATCTCACCGACTGCTAACAAACAGCTTATGGCCCGCACTTTGAATAACTACTGTGTTGTTTGCAAAAACAAAAACAACAAACAAAGCAAAACAAAACAAAACAAAAAACTGGAAGGAACCTAAATATTTATCCATAGAAGAATGACTACATAAACATATCATGCCTATACTATAAACTTTGTGTTCTAGTCAAGAGTCAGGATGGGAGATTTATAAGTCCTGATATAGAAGGGTGGCCAAGACACATTACTGAGAGGAAAACAAAAACAAAAACGAAACAAGCTGCAAAATAATACGGTTTTCTCATGTGTTAAAGGTGAAAAAAATCCACAATAAAACAACACTATGAATTTCCTATGGGTGTATAAATACGTATAAAAATGTATAGAAAAGGTACTGGAAGTACTACTGGGAAATAAAAGGGGAATCTTTTGTAATGGTTTCATTTCTATGAAAAGAAGACATTTAAATATTACTTATATAAAATTAAAAAATCTAACATTTAAGCAAGTTTGACTTAAAGCAGGCAAAAGCAAATGCCTCTTCCTACCCTCCATGTTACATTGAAAAATGAATTTTCTATGCTTCTCCCTGCCTCCCAGCAGAGGGACACACCACACACTGCTATGCAGGTAAAATATAGATTAAATGAACAATCAGTATCGAGGGCAAACTCATGGGAAAAAGAAGATGCCCTGGCCCCAGCTGTAGCCTGAGAGGCTGGGAAGGGGACTGGCTGGTTGGATGAGCATATGAGCCCCCTGCGAGGTGGCCAGAGGCAAAAGGAAGAATATTGATTTTAGATTCAAATGTAGAGTAAAATTCCAGCGCCTGAGTTTTGAGTTGAAGGTAGATTGAGCACAGGAATTTAGTCCTGGCTCCCTCCTGAATCCTGGCTCAAATGACAGTAAAGGCAGGCAGCCCTACAGAGATGAAGAGAATAGGGCTGGAAGGCAGATGGCGGAGTTGTTAATGGACTTAGCAGAAGTAGGACAGTGGAATCTTCAGTGGGCAGTGGGGCAGTGAGAAGTTGCATGACTTATACCACAGAACCCTAAAAGACCCTTTTATTTTCTCCTCTCTGGGTTCATTGACTGTAGATTTCTAACATTCATGTTGATTTACCTTTATGTGAATCTTTCAGTATGGAAAATCATTTCCATTCATTCTGGGAGTTTTATTGTATAATTGCCTCGATAACCTTCTCTCCTACTATTTTCTCTGTTCTTTTTCTGGAACTCTTCCTAGCTGGATATTAGACCACCTGGATTCATACTGTATTTCTTACTTTTTCTACCCTAGTTTCCATGTTATCATTTTGCATTTATGTTCTGCTTTTGGAGAATGTTATTGACTTTACCTTCTGAATACTTCTAATTGATTTTTTTCAATTAAACTTAAAAAAAATTGTAGATGAATACGTAGTTGTAAGAAATAATACAGAGAGAAACTGTGTATCCTTTACCCCTCCCGTAGTGGTAATATCTTGCAAAACTGTAGAACAATATCACAATCAGGATGTTGACATTGATGCTGTTAAGATACAGAACACTTCTGCCAGCACAAGGATCTTTCATATTGTTCTACTATAGCCTCACCCACTTGCTTCCTTTGGCCATTCCGTCTTTAACTCATTTCTATAATTTTGTCATTTTAACAATGAAGCCATACAGCACATAACCTTCTGCAGTTGGCTTTCTTACACTCAGCATAATTCTCTGGAGACTTATCCAAGTTATTGCTTGTATCAATAGCTTGTTCCTGTTTATTGCTGAGTAATATTTCATGTTATTGCTGTACTACCATTTCTTTATTTACCCCTTAAAGGAATTTGATTTGTTTTCAGTTTTGGGCTATTATGAATAAGACTGCTATAAACATTCACATACAAGTTTATGTCTGAACATAAGTTCTCATTTTCTCTGAGATAATTGCCCAGAAGTACAATTGCTGGGTCATATGGGAGTTGCATATTTAGATTTTTAAAGGCCCTTTCAAACTGTTTTCCAGGGTGGTTATTCTATTTTACAGGCCCACCAGCAATGTATGATGGATTCGTTTTCTCCACATCCTTGCCAGCATTTGGAGTTGTCACTGTTTTGTATTTTAGCCATTCCGATAAATATTCAATAGTGGTATCAATTTGCATTTCCCTGATGGCTGATAATGTTGAGCATCTTTCCATATGCTTATCTGCTATTGCTATGTTTTCTTCAGAAATGCCTCTTTATGTCTTTTGCCCATTTTCCAATTAGATTATTTGTTTTCTTACTGTTGAGTTCTGAGAGTTCTTTATATATTCTAGATACTACTCTTTTGTTGGATAAGTGGTTTGCAAATATTTTCTCCCGGTCTATACCTTGTCTTTTCATTCCTTTAGCAGAGTTGTCCATAGAGCAAAAGTTTTTAATTTCGATGAAGTACAATTTACTGACTTTTTTTTTTAATGGATCATGTTTTTAGTATCAAAAAGCATTTGGTAAACCCTAGACACCAGAGATTTTCTCCTATGCTTATTTCTAAAAGTTTTATAGTTTTACGTTTTATGTTTAAGCCCATGATCCATTTAGAGTTAACTTTTGTACGAGGTGCGAGGTTTAGGTTGATGTTCTTTTTTTTTTTTTTTTTTTAAATATTGCCTATGGACGTCCAATTACTCCAAGACCACTCGTTGAAGAGCCTTTCTTTCCTTCATTGACTTGCTTTGGCACCTTTGTAAAAAATCAGTTGGGCATGTTGGTGTGCATCTATTTTTGATTTCTCTATTCTGTTCCATTGACCAATGTGTATATCCCTCCACTGATGCCATCCAGCCTTGATTACTGTAGCATTATAATATGTCTTGAAATCTGATAGGCTGATTCCTCCCTCTTTATTTATCTTCCTCAAAATTGTTTTAGCTATTCTAGTTCCTGTGCCTTACAATATAAATTTTCAAATAATCTTGTATATACAAGAAAAATCTAAAAAATATCTTGCTGGGATTTTGATAGAAATTGCTTTAAACCTGTATACCAATTTGTGGAGAATTGACATCTTTACTATGTTGGACCTTCTAGTTCATGAACATATTACATCTCTCCATTTGTTTAGCTCTGCTTTGATTTCTTTCACAGGCATTTAGTAGTTTCAGCATACAGATCTTGTATAGTTTTGTTAGCTATACACTTGCCTATTTTATTTTTTGTGTACAATTGTAAATATTGATTTTTAATTTTGGTGTCCACTGTTAATTACTAGTATGTAGAAATACAATTGATTTTTATATGTTTAACTTGTATTCTGAGACCTTGTTGAACTTACTTATTAGTTCTGTGAATAAGGAGAGTTTTATTCATTCCTTTCCAGTCAGATGCCTTTTAAACCTGCTTAGCATTTTTTTTTTCCTTCTTATTGCGCTGGCTAGAACTCCTAGCATGGTGTTGAATAAGAGCTGTGAGAGCCTTGACTTGCCTTTTTCCTGATCTTATGGGGGAAGGATTCAGTCTTTTGCCATTAAGTGTTACATTAATGGCAAATTTTTGGTAGATACAATATAATTTATCAAGTTGAGGAAGTTTTCTTCTATTTTTCCAAGAGTTTACTTTTTTAAATCATGGATGTTGAATTTTGTTAAATGCCTTTTCTGCATTGATTGATATGATCATGTGATTTTCTTCTTAAGACTGTTGTTATGCTGGCTTACACTGATAGATTTTTAAGACATTGAATCA